CTTAAAAATTGAAGTATCATTTGTTTTTATATTTATAAAATAAGAAGATAGAACAAATAACTAACAATATTGACAGTCATTATGGGAACTATTCAGACATCATATAGCACGAAGTTGTTCTGTATCATTCAGGAAAGACTAACATTATTTTGTAAGAAAATTTCAAAGAAGAGCAATATATGAATGATGAAATTATTTTTGATGAAAATATACAACTTTTCGTTTTCTTATTTTCGATTGTAAAATACTCTTACCTTTATGTTTATTTTTCATTTAGAAGTACATAATTTTCAAAATTTTTCTTACTTGTTGTTGAAGACGACACATTTTTTCGTATATTCAGATAAACTGTCAAATGATATAAATTATTGTTTAGAGAAAAATTAGTTATATCAATATATATAGAATGTACAGTAAATAGTTGATCAATAGAACACGATAACATTAGTCAAAGCATTGATTGACGGCCGCAGTTGAACGTAGTGTTACTTTTTTCGTCTTTCGGTGATGTGACGGCTGACATTGTCTGAAACGTTGATGACGATTCCTCCGATTGGCTTACACCGCTAGAAACATACAAATAATAGATAACAATGGATGTAAACGACTTTCAACTCGAATTCAATAAGATATTAGGTTATTGATAAAGAAATGCTTGCTGAATGTTCTGTGCCGATCATAAGATCACAGCCTATGTGTATCTTTTATTGACTTATTGATGGGTGAGCATTTGGACACTATGCAGTTAGACGTTCTGACCTCATGATCGATAGTAGTTGCCCATTTACTCTGTCGTCTAATCATTCTTTCTTCTCTCGTATATCAGCTCGTGTTTTGTATGAAATGGAGAGAACTGGATTGATGAAATAGAGTACTGAACATCTGACAGATCTATTCATCATTTTCGTTACATGATCGAAGCCAAAGAAATTTCTGAAGTAAATATTGATGGATACTAGTAATATCTGTTCAAATCAGATAATGATTTTTGTAATGATGACTGAAGATTTTGTTTTTGAATTAAAGAGACATTGTTGGAAAGCATAATTTTCTGTGAAACTTTGAAAAAAAAGTTGCATTTAAAAATTATGTAATTCACAATGATCACAGCGTTGAGTACAAATCAGTCTCTCTTTAGAATAAAGTTTTAGTGTATCATATTGATAATGGTCATTTGTCTTAAGACAATAAAATATCTTACATGATCATACAAAAAATGGTCACGACTACTTCATTCAAAATGAGTAATATTTATTATTAATCTATTAAATATATTTTTATAACTTGTTTATTGACAAACTTAGTCGAAAAATTAGACGAAATTGTACGAAAAATCTCCGTTTCTGAAATCTTACGCTATATCGTATATTAAGATTCTTGAAAGATCTTATCGATATCTAAGTTTTTCTATAACTCTATTGTAATATCGTACAAGGTAGAAAGTTCTTGTACGCATCTTACATTATGACTTGAGTTAAGCTTTTTGAGACACTACGATTTTTCGTACGATTCCCTTCTGATTTTGTAAGAACAGAGATACAACCTTGTATGATCGTGCAACATCTTGAAGTAAAATTCTGTATGAAGGTGCAAGAATCTGTCATCGATCTGAATGTCTGATTGGTTTACTTGGGTATTCTTAGCATACGATACAGAAATTCTTTACATGTTTGTTTATTGTCTCTCATAGTCATAGATATACTTCAGTCAAGATATCTTGATTTTATTCTGAGTGCTACTATAGTCTACAACAGTTAGCTCAGATCTTTAAAATTTATTGTATTTAATACACAATCATATACGTATTCATCATGAAAACAAGAGAAAACCAAGCTGTAATGTTCTTTTTCATCGAAAAATTTATTCGTTTCAGTACCTAGCATGTGAATATCAAGTAATATGCGATATGTTAAATCCAAACCATATCTTATAATCAGCTGTTCTTCTGTAGTATCAGTTTGTCATAAAAAAATAATTATGTCCTAGGAGTATTTGTAGATGTAGAGTGTGTGTTATAGTCAATTTGATGCGATGTGAGCAAGAGACATTTCTAATCAAAATAGTATACATAGAGTTCGACTAAAGAAAACTTGACATTGGAACTAACTTGATGGATCTGCCAAAAGCTTACAGTATCATGATCACTGTTAGCATGGCATCTTTTCAAATTCTAATACAACAAACATAATAGGATTACAAAATATATGACAGACGAAGTAAATGACTTCAATCAACATGCTTGACGATGAAATAGTTTTTTATTGACTGTTGAAGTTGTACTACTATCACTTTTGGTCATGAATAGATCACGAAAGAATTTTATTAAATTTGAAATATTAGAATAATGATTAGAACACAAAAGAATTTTCACTATTTATCAAAATGAATGTTCTACATGTTTGCATATTATCTATCATTCTTATAAATGTTTGTATTCATAAATTTTCAAAAAAATGTCGTTCTTTACAAGTTTTCAACCAGTGTCATTTGAAAACAGAAAGAATCGTTTAGCTTATTGTGTTGACACCTATGAAATTTTCAAAGATTGATAATATCAAGAATGTATTTCATTCGAAATGGGCGTGTTGTTTACTGTACGTATTCACAAATGAAATGTTCTAATTGAGTAATAAATCGATCATCTAAAGATTCATGTTGTTGTTATTGCCGTTTTTGTTGTGAATATCGGTGTGAGTATTCTGTTGGTTCACACCGACACCATTAATTCCTATTTTTGAACAATCTAGAACTATCTGAAGTAACACGTAAATTATTATTATGTACAGCTCAACTTAATTTTGCTCTTTTGTCACAAGATAATATTCGATGTGAATATAATAATCAAGAAATACGAAAAGGATGAACAGATTTTAAAAAAGATATTTTAAATGATATTATTTTTAAGAAAAATATTTGTTCTGGTCATGGTAAATGACAATATTTAATGTTACTACCAACTATAGAACGTCTGACAAAATTTTCAATGCATTAATTTCAGAACTTTATTTTTTTATATACGTACATATGATCTTTCTATTTGAATACGCATTTCTTTGGATTTTAAACAGCATAATCAACGAAATAAATCTATATTTAAAAACAGTTAAATGGTAAAATCAGTAGTGGCACCAGAAATTCTGATTAGGTGGAAGACTCAGCTTCTCTCTCTCTACGGATTTTTGAGCAGCATCGGGAGAATTTTTTGAAAGATGTATTTATTTTTTTGATACAAAAATGTTTTTGTTTTTGCAATGAAAAATTTTGACATATATATCTTACTATGTTGAATTCATATGTGTTTTTCGAAGGCAAGAAAATACAGTAGATAATAAGTGATAATCACACAAAAATAATAAAGTAATGAATATGCAGAATTCTTAATATTTACTGTATTTTCTCTTCTTCGAAAACACATATGAGTTCCACAAACTAAGAATACTGTATTAAAACGTTTGATTGCAAAGATTAACACATTTTTGTATCAGAAAAAAATTCATCTTTAGAAAATCTCTCCACGAAGAGAGTCTCAAAGGACCATAGGAGAAAAAGCTGAGTCTTCTCTGCCTCTGACGGCTCAGTCACTGGCTATGGCATCAAATGTTTATAGGTATTGCTGATGAGTTACAACATCCTTTCTTAGATTAGTTGAATTCAGGAATGCATAAATAGATGTTGATCATTGTCATATATTCGAGCAACTAGTAAACAAACAAGAGCAGCTAAAGAGTTTTCCCGACAGTAGCAAACGTGCTGTTTGGATGAGTTCATGTAGTCTTCAGTATATTAGTTTGCTGGAACAAAATGAAAAAGATTATAATATTCTATTGATTTTCACCACGATAAATAGATAAAAATTGTTTTCTTTCTATTTAATGTTAATCTTTTGAATCTTTTTTTTCTTGACCTAGTGGTCATGTTTTAAAAATGCACAAAATCTAGTTTTGTAAAGATCTTAAGCGTATTATCAAATGGTAGAGGAAAGAAACCTTTAAATCATATAGTTTTTGTAAGAAAAATTGTCTCATGATGAAAATTTATGTACACACACAATGGATATATCCTAAACAAGACCTGTTGAAATCTAACGGACCAAGCAAACCATTATAAACGAAATCTAAACGTATGCATAAAGTTCCAGGTATGGCTAAGGTTCATCAAACTTATATTGCACCACTGTTCATTTTATGAAAAAATTTGAAAAAAGTTCTTACAAAATGATCAAGTCGGTTAAGAACCAAGTGACATACTAAGTATCGCCGAAGATCAGTAAGATTTATTTCTGAGTGTTTAGGACATAAACGAAGAGTTTACAGGTTAAAAGAATTCACTTGATTTTCACTCTCATCCTCCAGAAAATGCTCATTCGACAGAATGAAAATTTAAATAATTTCCATTAATATTAAGCTTATAGGAAAATAGAAATGAAAAACGTATGGCTTTTACAGATCTGTGTGAAATCTCTTGAAGAAATGACTGATCAATGACTTTTTCAAGACATTTTTTCTCACAAGATGTCCAACCTTGAGCATGTGTCGAGTAATGAAAGATTGACTCATGTTGTTGTTACATCTGAAATGTCAAGAGATAATCTCAGTTGAATCAAGATACTAATCTTTATTGAATGCTTTCATTAAGAAACATCTTGTGGATCATTGCTGAAACTTTTCCGTTGAGCATAAATAATATTTTATACATTTCTGTTTATTGATGATTAGCTGACAACTCATGAACGTATCATCATTGTAACTTGAGAATTCATTCAAAAAATTTTATTGCAGTCTGCATATTATATATATCAATAAAAATCGAGCATTGTTAGTTTGTTTCATCAAAAATGATCAAAATTACGCTTAAATTTACGGGCATTTGTTAGTTTTTTGTCTTAAACTCATATATTAAATAAAAGAAAAGGATAATTAGAAAGAGAAACCACTACATTCGTTGATTTGTTGTTCTGATGCTTTAATAGCATCACAGTCTAAAAAATAATATGCCGACTTCTATTTTATTGGAGGATTGTTGCCACGTTTATTTTTAATATTAGATTTGACTTTAGCAATTAAGTCTGTCGAATTATTTACTATGTATAATCGATCTTTCCAGTCCGGGATACTCATAGATGGTGCTTGATTTTGTAAATGATACATTAAACCTTCTTTATCTTGAGTAAAGACAATTACCGGAACCCATTTTAAGTGAGAACGATCCAAGAAAAATAACAGATTCAATGGATTTTTATCTTCACTTTTATAATAACCACGACAAATAATTTGAAATGGAGATGAAGATGATTTTATTTTCTCCATGGTCTTTTGAAGATAATTTTCTGCCATCGAATATGTTTCACAAAATTCTATATGAACAGGTTGCTCATTTATTAGTTGCTTCATCACTAAAGAATTGTCTTCGGTTTTCTTATCGATCCAAAGTATATATGAATTTGTTGGTGTAGTGTTTTTCGATATTCTCTCAATATGAATACCGGAAGTGTTCTTCGATGATCCGGCAAACTTCGTATAAGAACTCATTGATGTAATTATCCAGTTGATATTATGATAATAATTGGAATTATCTATGTTCCAAAAGTAAGTTGCGTCATAATATCCATCATAATAACTTGGCAGGATATTGATCGAATCATTTTTATATCTATTTATTTCATATCCATATGGTTGATATTCATATGGTTGATACTCATATGGTTGATATGTATATGGTTCAGATCTATTTGTTTCATATCCATATGGATGATATTCATATGGTTGATATGTATGTGATTCAGATCTGTTTGGGCGAATTGGTTGCATGCGACGGCGAGAATCATTAGAGATGGCCTTTATGGTATATAGACTGTGGACAAGAGTCTTATCAGTCATATATTTGTAAGGAATATAACAGTAGCCTTTGTCACCCTAAAAGCAAACCAACATATTATTCATGTGGCAGATATTAACATGGATGACAACGATAAGTCTCGAAAAGATTCTCATGAGTCACTTATACTCTATGTGTACTCTTGATTGAATTAAACGAAAGTCACATTACTTCAATAAATCTATTGTTTTTGATATAAAGTAGGAAGCTATTCAAGATATTATATTGAGAATCTTGAATTGTCTGTTCATATTGCATCGATAGAACCCAAAAATAATATTGTCTTCAGAATTCAATAATTCATAATACTTGTCAGTCTCGCCTATCAGATCTACCATAAAGAATAAACCTCTCTGCTTTTTTATCATCATTTTTTCCCTTGTTCACTCTTAGATTGAATCAGTAATCAAAAGGCAACATGAACAAAGTATACTTAATATGTTACTTATTCAATGTGACTTTCAAGTTATTTCAAAATATGATTTCTTTTATTGAAAAAAAGTAGTCAAAATTCTTTTCCAAATTTGATGTTTGAACATTGTTCTATTATTCTTATACTTGTTCATCTAGCAATAATTTTTCTTAAAGCATTTTTTCGTACTTAAATAAAGACAATTGATTTATATCTCGATAAGATGTCGTACTTCTCTATAGCTATTCATTATTTTCTCTTTCAAGCAGATACATTTGGTAAAAAGTTTTGAGTTACTTCGATCAAGTAACCATTGTCATATTGTAGTAAAAATGATAATGCATAGATTGAACAATTAAGCTAAGCTAATAGCTTAAGAAGAAAAAAATTGGGACGAATTATTTTGGTGACGTGTTCAAATGGTTTTTGAATCTTGTCTAATTGAAAAGCTACTGACTTCAATTTTTCAGAGTTTTAATAGTTTAATTTTCATTAATGCATCTCATTCCAGTGTGACATATGAGAAGGATAATCATGTTTACTTATGATGTTCAAAGAGAGCTGTTAACCATTAAACTATGAATTCTTAAGACTAACTCGATTTCTAGTAGTTGACAAAAACTTGTGCTAATTTATAAGAATTCATCAAGAAATATGTGTGTGATTGAAGAAAAATGCTCTGAAGTAGTTTTCATCATTTCCTCTGATTTTTCTACTGTTTGAGTAGAACTTCTTTTCTCCTTTTATTAGAACAATTTAATCAATAAGCAACGTCGAAAAACGTATGAGTCTTCTAGATTGATACCATTTTTAAAACTTAATGTAACACTTTTTTTTAACAAATTCATACTTTCACAAACAAAGAGAAGCAATTGATCGTACAAACATTTTCATGGATAATATTGATTATGTACACGAAAAAAAACTGAATATTAAAATGAATGAGAGTATTGCCATGATGCCTATTCAATGTTAACCATGATAAATATTAAAAAAGACATGAAATTCATCAAATGTTCTCCGCTCAAAAAATTCTTTTGTTTGCTAATCAAACATCTATAATCAAAACCTAAACGATATCTATCATTGCTGTTCAACAGAAAATAATTCTTTACTGTCTTAAAATGTTTTTGTCGATCTTCGAATTCTGAAGAGATATACGAATAGTTCAAATGAAGACAAATGGAATGTTTGCTGTCTTCGTCTTTCTCAAATATAGGCGGAGTTTTTCATTCGCTTGCGTAGAACTGAAGTCATCTATCAATTCACTGGTATATTTAATTATTTAAACCATATCTGCAACGCAGTGTAGTATAACTAAGTTGAGCGAACATGAAAACAGAAGACTCTTTCTACGAAGTGTAAAATGTGTACAATAGCTCAAAAAGTCGCAATTTTCAGTTTATGTATGCGTTTTCGATAATTTATGTTTGTTGGAATCCTAGTGCAGATTTTTACTTATAATAGAAAACCAAGGATTGAACTAGAGGCAAAAGTGCACAATCGTCACCCAACTTCTAGGAATTAGTGACCATATAATTAGACTCATTTGAATAATATTGGTTCTAGAGTTTTCACCCCTACTGCTTTGTCACCTATTTGGACTGTGATTCGACCATTAGAATGACGTTTTTCTTGAAGTTATGGATTCAGCATATTTTGTTTCTCATTTACGCATCTTTTTTTGCTCTTAGCAAATACTCTGCCATTCATTTTATTTTAAAAGAACTTGAAAACCTTATACGACCGGATTCTTTCAAACATTGATCAATCTCAACGAAAGTTTAAAGGGAAAAATTAGATAATCGAACAAGAAACTTACCCAGTCTGAGCCCCAGGAATTTCTAACAATGAAACATTGTGCTCGGTCGCTGTATCCAACTGCCAACATCGCGTGGAGACCATGTTTTTTGCTGCCTTGTTCATTGCTTTCTGGCATCGTCACAATTCCGCCATTTGTTTCAGCTTCACCAAATGAAACGAATAACTGAATACCAAATGCAAACGGATATTTTTGAGCCAGACATGATTTCATCTCATTTAGATCCACTGCTACAGTCATCCCATCTACTATACGATACTTTTTGGCTTCTTCATAGCAATTTGCTGGTGGCTTTTGATTAATTTTGTTAACGTTGTATGGATATAATTTTTCTTTGCAACAGCCATCCCGTTTCAATGTTTTAATGGCACCCAGTATCGTACAACCATCATCTTCCATATTCTCTTCACTCATTCCATCTTTAACACGAGCATTGTAATAAATAAACAAACGACTGACATCAATATTTTTTTTAGTGTCTACCTTTATTAGAAATTCATATGCACCTAAAATTCAATATTTGATCTAATGACATATATATATATTAAGATCTTACCAGCTAATGCATTAGCGACACTAAACAAAAAAAAAATCGTGAAAAAATTAATTAAATTAAACTATAAAAATCGAACACTGCTTAAGAATACGATAACAAGAGGATAGCCAATTTTAAATAACTATTTAGAACATTTATTCTTAGAACTATTGTCGAATTTAGACTCAACTTTAACAAGGTACTAACCATGCATTGGTCTCTTTTTGATTTTCAACCGCCGTCATCATTGATCTTAAATCAACCAATGGAGGTAGGTCTTTGTCTGCAAACATCCGCGAAGCTGCAAATTTTGGTTCATCAGCTGGTGTTGTACTAAGCTTGCAGCCACCGATACGAAAACGTTTGCCAGTTGTTGGATTGACTAAATATATTTGTTCAGCCATAATAGCTACAGGAGAATCAATAATCTAGAATCGAAAACTGGGATGAATGTCGTATAAGATATTGTAAAAACATCTTGTAAAGCATTTGACAAGAGAAAGCAAACTATTATTGTAAACACTCATTTGAGTTAGAATGTTTTTTGAAAGCTTCCTACATAGTAATATTTTGAAAACAATTGATTTGAGGGCACTTTTAGTCAACTACTCTGCATTTAATAGTGCTACAATGTCAATCATAATACTAGATACTGCTAACTTTGCAAGCTACAATTAACCATAATTATGAAGCAATATTTGCAAGAAAATGTTAGTTTCACAAGTTTAGTTCTCGTTCTCATTGGTTTTATTCATATTAGTATAATGTAACAATAAAAATTGTTCGAGCATCAAACATTTGTCTCATCAATTCATATGTATTGAAGTTAAAACTTGGACATCTTTTCTGGATATTTGAAACTTGAAAAACAAATATTTAAACAGAATAGTGTCGCACTAACTGAGTATGTTACAGCATACTGACTAGTGGATATTAACATTTGAAATAATTTCATTAGTTTTTTGCCGCTTTTTAGAATGATTTGCGATTATTCAAAGATAGGATAGTCTATCAATACCACTGCAATAAAAAAGAAATGAAATATCTCTGCATTGGTTCAACTAAATGGACTGATTATTTGGTAAGTAGTAGCAGTTCATTCAAATTTTTTTTTTCGTACATATATGGTACGCAAATACTACTATTAAGTATTTTTATTGGTATCATGAAAGCAATTTTACGTGTTATGAAATACAAAAGAGATATATATGTCGTGTTTCATAGATAATTTTCACATGTCATCTACAAGACTCATAAGAATAATGTAAAAGGAACTTTGTCAGCGTTTTTGTATTGATGCACATAGAAAACACTTTAAAATTAATTAGTTTAAAAGCCAATGGTTACAGAATTTCGAATTTTCAAACATAAAACGTTGTTTTTCGCAAGAAAGTTAATGTTTTGGTTCTCAAGATGACTGCAATTGCATGTTTTATTTATGAAGCACAAACTTTAGCATTTAAGGTCACTCGTTTTGTGAACTTTCTCTATGAGGATTAATACAGAATTACATTTTGCCTTGTTCTAATTATTCTCTTAGATAATAACTGAAAATAATCTATGAAATACGATACATATTTCTTTTTAATTCATAATAAGTAAAATTACTTTCATGATATCAATAACAATACTTAACAGTAATATTTTTTTACCATATCTGCATAATAAAAATTTGAATGAATTTCTACTGGTAACCAAAAAAATCAGCCCATTTAATTTTTTATTTGTATGGGTACGTCTTGACGTATATATCATCAACGTCATTTATCATTGTTATCATATGTCTCTGATGAATGAGGAGAAGGATGATTTCTTTCTCGCCATTCGTGATGAGTAATAGAAAAAAGTTATTTTTTAAATAAAATAATACTTATTGTACTATTTAAAATTTTTTTGTATTCGTTCTTTTCATTTTTGCAAGTATTCTAATAAATCTCATAGCTATTTAAACAGCTAGTTATTTTATTCATGTACCTGTCTAACTATCTACAAATAATTTAAATAAGTATGAAGGTTTTATTAGGTATTGGAATGATTTCAATAGAAAAATGTTTGTTTGAATAGTAGCTCTTTCGAAATAGAGTCGATTAAATAATTTTAATAAAAAAAAAATATAATTCTTTTTATATAATAATACATACCGTTGAAATCTATATGAATACTTAAAAACTATTATACAAGAGCAAATAGAGAAAAGAAATAAATAAAAAGAGGTTTTTATGTGCTCGCTTATACAAGTAAGAGACACCATAATGAAAAAAAAAGAAAAGAGAAAAAGATACGTCACGATGGTAGACGCTTGCGCACCCCTTTCAAACTGGGAATATCCCATTTTCTTCTGAGTCAAAATTGGTTTTTTTCATTGAAAAAACAAGATCATACGATGAAAAAAAATAATCTTGTATCCGCCACTTTTTTAACAAAGTATATACACACTTCCAATTTCAAGAAATTTTTCTTGCATTCTCTATCGCATTCTTGGTAAACATGAAACTTGTTTTTACTATAAACAGATGACTAATGTATGAAAATACAGTCAACCGTGAAGTAATAAAATGTGCATGTTGTTTATGTACAAGCGATACGCATATGCGCCCACACTTCTATGACGAACTAATGTGTACTTGCATCATAGGTTATAAAAAATTATGTCTGTGAAAACAACTATGTATTTTGTGAATTTGCATCAAGACACACGATGCATTTCTAGTTAGAAGTTTTTACCTGAAGTAATATGACTTTTGATAAATTACACGATTTTTTCAATGATGCATTTCGTTCTTTTTTTGTATAAAGCATATACGATTTTTTTAAAAGATGTTTTTTTCGGAAAAATGCTATTCCATATAAAATTATCACGGTAACATTAGACATATTTCACCTAGTCTATTTTTACCTTTCATATCAATCTACTGAATCCAAATAGAAAAATGGATTCTTGCTATCTGATTGCAAAAGGATATAGGTGTGGATTCCAATCAGACATACACTGAACAAAATACAAGTAAAAACGCGTCGAAACTTTAGCAAAAATGAATTCGTAAAAAGCGCACATTTTCAAGACTTTATTTTCGTTAATGTTTATTAACGCGTTTGACTTTTGAATTGGGAATATCCTTGGAGTTAACACTAATACTCCATAAACTTGACCTATTTGAGGGATATTTTCCATCTGATCTTAAGAATTATTATTATTTTCCCACCATATAATAATTATTAGTGTACTCAAAAAGTGAGTACACTACTAAAATCAGTCTGTGTGTCCGTCCGGCCGGCCGGCCGTTAACACGATAACTTTCGAAAGGAGAGTCAGATTGCGATGAAATTTTCTACACAGCTTAGTCTTGACAATATCTCGGTCGAGTTCGAAGATGAGAAGGATCGGCTGAGCCGTTCCTGAGTTATTGCAAAAATACCCATTTTTCCCTATAGCTTTCTGTGGAAAAATGGACCCATCGCGACTTTCGTAAAAGACTTTTCCTATCATAGTCAATTAAAACCCCAACTATTATATACCATTCGATAGAGAATTTCAAGAACTACAAAATGATATATAAAACATAAAGAAACAAGAAGGTTGACTTACCAATGACAAGGACAATTAAAGAGAACTAGGTTATATTTTGGTCCACGATCTAATTGATCCACAAATAGAGCTTTATCTTCCGGTCACACTGATGATACTTCGAGGTTTTCAGATATGGAGAACTCGAATGTGTACTGCACTTCCACCAAAATACTGTTAGTTGCGCAGTGACCAATAGAAATGAAGTTATAGGAAAAACGACTTTCTTAGGGTAAATCAAGGGAAAGAGTTCAAACTTGAGCTGTATTCGGTCCCATGTCCTATTGGTTTGGCAACGCGCAATAGAAATCAACATTTTAAATGGTAGATTTCACAGTATAATTTTGATATTCAGACAGTCTAGGATGATTGATTTGTATGATTCACTTTTTGAAGTACACATAACTCTCGGATTTAAATCCGAAGTTTCCGCATTTATTTTTTAGTTGATTTTGGTCTACAGAACTTTATGTCTTAAATTTTATATGAAGTTTCATAGACCAAAATTGACTAAGAAATTATTATTATGTAGTGGAAAAATAATTAAAATTCCTAAGATCGCATCAAAACTATCCCCCAAATAAGTCAAATTTATGGAATATTATTCTTAACTCTCGGAATATTCTCAATTCGAAACCTGAGCGCTTTGTAATATGCCAAGATATATGACAAAAGTTATTCCATTCTGGAACATCTCACCTAAAGATTACACTTTTTGTGAAAATAAAATAAATATTGTTTAATAACTTTCGAGACCAATTTAAATTTCTTTTTTTGTATTGTTCGAGGATATAAAAAATTGAACAGATATAAAAGACATATATGTAAGAGTATCATGTAGACTATCATTCAAAATCTATGTGTTTAATTGACACCAGTATTAAGACAATGCATTATTAGAAAATATGTTTATTAAGTGCATTGTCTACTTTTTTTTTTATTCATTACGGGTAGGTAACATGCTATGCACTACAAGTCATTTTTGTTATTTTCTTATTTGAAAATATAATGCTAAACTTGATGTCAACATCGATTTTTATATGGTTAAGATAAAATTTAATAAGAAAAAGCAAAAATCAGTTTTATGAACATAAAAAATGTTGTCTAATAATGTACTTTCTTACCAATAATGCTACTTGAATATATTAAATTTTAGATGATAGTTAAGATGTTATTCTCAAACACACATCTTCTGTTTGTTCCACTTTATATATTCAAAACATTAAAAAGAAATTCTAAGTGAATTCTCAATGGATGAAATACGCAATAAGAAAATCTAAAAAGCTGACAAAGAGCCTTATGCACGAATCGCTTGTTGGCCACTTACATGAATAAAAGGTAATCGTATACTAGCTTATTTGAAGCTAAGAGTGATGTGTTTTCTTTTATTTTTTCGCAATCGTCTCACTAACACATATTAACAAGACGATTCAAAAACAGACATAAGAAAGGAGACCATCCTTAAACAACAAATAAGCTTGTATAAGGCTACTGTTTATTCATGTGCCTGATCGATATGCTATTCATGAACAAGATTCATTTTATTTTGCTCGACACAAAAATAGAAAGACAAATGGCTAATATTATTGCTAAAGTTTGATTTCTAATGTATAATTGTGTTATCAATGATGTAGTAAAATATTTGATGAACGAATGAAACATTTTAAGCCTAACTCATATTAAGACCTTCATTTCAAATTATCAGTCTATTAACTATATTAACTGTTAACTGATTATATGAAAACAAAACTCTCAACTATTGTACTGAAAATACATAAATAATAAGTAATATTCAAAGATCTATATGAAACTTGATAGAAATTATGCAAAGACGAAAAAAACTAGAACTAATAAGAACTATAAAAAAAAGCATGTAACTTTTAACTTACTCATCAACTATTTCGTCATAAAAATTATTTTCTATCCACTTAAAATATTTTCATGCGATATTATAATGTGATGACAATAGCTTAGATAGAATGAATAAGTACAGAGAATATAATGTGTAATTTCTAGTGTTAGATGTACAATTTTTCTCAAATTCGAATTATTCATTATAAAGAAGCAAAATTAATCGAAAAAAAAGCAGCTTAAGAATATCTTTTACTAACTGAATTTTTTACAGCATCTATACATAGACGGTTGAGACGCATCAAAAAAATATCTATACTTCAAGTAAAAATTTAATTATTTTAAAATTAACTATTTATACTTGTCAATTCTTATAAAGTTAGGATATATTTTATCAATAAAAATTCTATCATCTAAATTGGTTAAAGACGACAAGTCTATTCAAGATGCACTAAATCTCGCGAAAAAAGTATAAAAATGTGTATGGAAATATGAAAGCGGTAAAACAAGTAGAAATTAACAAAAATCCGCGTAAAACCGTGTAAATTACAACAAAATTTACGCTTTTTTAAACACGTATTAACGCTATGTTCTGACGTACTTGTCTAACTTTGGGTGTATGTGAATAAAGGCTTACAGTGCATGTGATTTTGAAAGATGGATTAATAGATGCAAAAAGATTCATTAATGACGTTCTTTCGATAATTCTAAAACCTGGCAACGAAATGTTCGAAAACGAGTGGACACAATAGAAGGATGATTCTATACCTCACGCATATTACCTGTGTCAAAAATAGTGCTCTGACCATTGTCTGACATTGATTTTGAAGATCTACTAACCGACAACTTCGCCTGTTTTATATCCATTAGACCATAGTTTATGCAATAAACTGGCTGAAGATATGAGTATGAATCCCATGACTATAACGGTATCATTGATAGACAAAATGAAACTTGTGGTCTAAAATATGAAAACGAAAATATTTTTCATTGTGCACTTGATTTTATTATATGATTACATTGGATACTAGAAAATGGGAGAGACTACATTCGTTAAATTAAATATACCTTTAGGTCAATGATTTTGGCACCTGGATTTCTCGATTTTCAAGAGAGTCCTGAAACAAGGAGTTATTTCTAGTAGAAAAATCGGAAAATTTGTGAAAATTAGGAAGTAGGAATCCGGTGACTAGATCGAGTGCCTTGATTTTCTTAGTACTGGTTGTAATCGATCGTAGACGGATAGACTCAGGTATCGGATTTCTGTTTTCAAGTTCCTACTATATTCTTGAGTTTTTTAGTCGAAAGCAGTACGTATTTCTTCACCTGGACATTTTGAGCAGAATTTCAAGTATTACTTTTTCATATAAAAATATTCCCAATACTAATTATAGTAGAAGAAAAATTTCACGAATACTAAAAGACCATCTATTTTATGCCATCGATTAATAGCTAAAGAAAGTTCAAGTTAATTCAATTTCATATCATCTAAGCAAAGATATCATATATATTTAAGTTCAATAAGTCAAGTCAAATTTATAGAAAATCTTCATTAATGAATATTAAAGTCTTCATTAAAATTTGACTTTGTATCTCTAACTAAGAATGATTTCTTTTTTCAAACTATTTATGAAGTTCAACAAAAAAGTAATAAATAAAAGCAAAAAGACGCAGAAGTTTTATTAATAAAAAAATGTCATTCTGTTTTCAGTAAATACATGCTATAAATAACTCATCATTTCTGTAATATTTAAGGCAAATATGTCAATAGTTAATGTCAATATAATTAATTTTTGTTTACACGTAGTCGATGGTCCATAATTAATAATAAGAAAAAATGAATAGCATCAGGTACTTTATTCGAATAAATTTCCAAATCATATTTTAGAGGTGTCCCTGAGAGCCACTGAGAACGAGCCGCAAATTTAGCTAATAATTCATTGTTCTTTTTATGATAGATTTTTCCTTTTTTTGCATCTTTTTTCCGTTTTGCAATCACTTGTTCATTATTATATTCAACAGTATAATCAACAGAAAACCAATGAAGAGTTCTTCGTATAATTCCATCTGTCCATTTATTTAATTTGGAATTATAAATAGAAAATGTAACATTAAATTTGTCCTCTATCCATTCACCTTCAAGATTAGCGATCATATTGTCTCCAGCATTATCAAAAAGTATCCCACTATCGATATCACTCCTTGATGCTGTTAATCGATATAAACGTGTTTTTTCTTTTGAATCAAATATTGTATATCCAGTTAATTCAAATCGTCTGCTTCGTGGATTTTCTACCAGTACATACGTACGATCGGCTTTTTTCGAGTCAATATACTTAATCAGAAGAATAAATAATAGTAAACAAGAAATAATCTTCATGATGACCATAGATTAAATGCTGATGTATCTTTGTTTCTACCATATAATATCAACCTTCTAGAAATTGAATTGTCATCAATTATTAGATTGCTATCAACACTAACTGCTTGTATTATTCAATTTATCATAAAAAAACAAAAAACAAATAGTGTTTGCCATGTTTTATCCGGATATTTTCATCCAGGAAGAAAATTTTCATCGTCCCTTGAATATACACACCTACTTTTTGGGTTACATAATACACTAAGTACAAACTCCGAGAAGGCTCAACTCGACTATCAGAGCGGTGTCGTTTCTTTAATCATCACGTCGAACAGAATATTGAGCATTGACATTAAGTAGAAAATATTACTTCAACTAAATACATTTTTACTTAATTAATAATTCAGGATAGAACGAGAAGAGAAAATAATAGTGGACAAGAAAAATTACTGGTGTTATATCATGTTGACAATACAAATATATACTCAATTTGACATTAACTTCTCAATAAGATGAATTCGATTTATTACGAAAATGAATACTTTACTTCTTTATGAAATCATTAACGATTTTTTTAATTAACAAACTATCATACGATAAAATCAATAGGTATTTTTTCTTTCTTTTCCGATATTGTTTCAAACGAGTCTTTCAAAATGAAGACAATTACTTAAATATGCCCCTAATGTCTCCTATAAAACTACATCAAATGTCTGTTTCTAAGATCTAATGTTTATTGTTGTTTTTTTCATATTTTCAAACTTTCGAACAAGCTTATCGCATCATCCGATATAATAATATTAAAGAATATGTTAGGTTACGATGGAAATCATCACCTTGAGTTGTCCTTTGATAATGCGATAACAGTTAAGTGTTATTATGATTTATGCTTTCTAATATTTTTTTCTACCTATCTGAAAAATAACACTGTATTTTGTTTGGAAAGCAAAATGGAGATTTACAGAGTCGTTTGTAATCTCTTTCTTTAAATTTAGAAAGAAAGAAACATATATTAGTTTAGATAATTATACCGCTTTGTACAGAGTTCCAAAGTAAATTTGTTCGAAAAAGATGAAAATCTCGCGGCTCGAGATATTAATAAAATATTGAGAGGGTCATTTATTTTACCATACTCATTACAATGAAACAGAAGTCCATAGTTCTGAGTTAAGATTATTTTCTACACAGAACACTTGAAAAGTTTTCTTCTTTGCCTGACTTTCGTAAAACATGTAATTTGAAGAGAGTTATTGTAGTGTAATGTTTAAACGAATTTATGATCATGTAAAAATATTGCAGCATTCTTAACATTTAGGTATTGTGGTATTTTTTCATGTCTTTTGAACTCTTACATGAATACTTTCACGTGATGATTTAACGTATAAACATAGCTTTTATGGTGATTACAAAATCCAAAGTAGAGTAACACAAACTTGTTTCAAGCCAATCTAAGAGTAGCTTATGTCGAAAACGGTATGTGACTAATCTGAACAAAAAATATGGATATATATAAAAGGCAAACACTGACACTTTGAAACATAATTCTAAATATGTTTGAGTGTTATAATAGAAAACTTATACTGAAATAATGGCTTAAGTGGAAAATGGTGTTCCGATAATTTGCTTCCATTCATTTAAAAGACCTATTAGCCAACAGATCCAGCTAATTTATGCCCATTAAACTAAAGTTTATGGAATGAATTGATTGAAGCTATGGATTAGAACCATGCAATAACAAAGGCACCATTGATTGACCGATACTAAGAAGGCAATGTATTCAGTATCAATTGCTATTAACTGAAGAAATTTAAAAAATGATTCAATTTCGTAGCATCTAAGCAAAAATATAATATACATTGAAATTCAAAAACTCATACAGAATTTACAGAAAACCACCATGAATAACAAAAATAGTCTGTATTCGGATTCGGTTTCGCTTCTCTAACCAAGACTGATTTATTTTGAAAACTATTAAAAAGAAGTTTCACAACAATGTACTAAAGGAAAGCAAAAATTGATAGAAGCTTTATTGATAAAAATAATCGTAATCTTCATTCAACAAACAAAAAATGTAATTAATTCTTCAGTTGTATAATGTTTAATTAAATCATTCAAATAATAAAATTCAATGTAATCAGTTATCACCAGCAAGACCTCGATGATCCATAATTAATACTAAGAAAAAATGGATAGCATCAGGTACTTGATTTGAATAGATTTTCAGATCATATTTGGCCGAACTCCAAGGTAGCCATCGAGAACGAACTCGAAATTCAGCTAATAATTCATTTTTCTTTTTATCATAAACTTTTATTTTTTTCGAAAAGTTGCCCAAGTTTGCAATTAATTGCTCATTATTAAATTGAATTATATAATCAAGAGAAAGTACATGAGCATTTATTTTTATAAATCCGTCTGTCCATTTATTTAACTTTGAATCATAAACAGAAAATGAAACGTTAACTAAGTTTTCTATCCATATACCTTTAAGATTCGCCATTATATTTTTTCCAATATTATCAACAAGTATAGCACTATCCACATCGCTCGACGAAACTCTTATTCGATATAAACATGTTTTTTCTTTTGAATCGAATATTCTAAATCCATACATCGGTTTTCCAGGAGTTGTTGCATTTCGTACAACTACATAAATACGTTGAGCTTTTTTCGCTTCATTATATTTAATCAGAAGAATAAATAATAATAAACAACAAATAACTTTCATGATTATGATAGACTAAATGTAGATGTTTTTCTCTATCTCCTATTATATCAACCATCTAGGAGTTCGATTGTCATCATTTATTACATTGATATCAACACTTACTGCTTTTATTATTCAATTTATCATAAACATAAGAGACAAGTACCGTTTGCATAGTTTTATCTGCATTTTTTCGAATCAAGGAGAAATTGTTTTTGAAATTCCGTAAGAGCAAACAACTAATTTTTTCGATTTTATCATACAGTATTTAATATATGTCATAGAGAGAAAACGTCATTTCGACTAAATAATATTCACTGAATTTATAATTCAGGATAGAAGGACTAGACAAAATACTAGTGAAAAA